TGCCTCAGCCTCCCGAGTGCTGGGATTACAGGTCTAAACTCCCCCTTCACCTGGCAGATTATTAAATCATTTATTTTTAAAAACCACTGGTAAATTTTCCATGCAATGTCCATTCTTCAAGTTAATAGTTTTTCTATTCACTCTACGATAAACATGAAAACAGCCAAAGGAAGCCCACAGTCAGGCAGCTGTGAGGCAGCGTTTAGAAAGAACCTGACAGCAATGTAAAGCCCAGCAGATCCCGCCTGGCAGGAGCAGGAATAGAAAGCAGAGAAAGTGCTGGGTGCAGTGGTGTGCGCCTGTAACCCCAGCACTCAGGCAGGAGGGTGGCCCCGAGTTTGAGGCCAGCCTAAAGTACATTCTGAGACCCTGTCTCATAAAACCAAAAAAGTAAAACAATAAATTTAAAAAAATTTTTTTAAAAAGCAGAGGAAGAGAAAGATCATAGTCTGTTTTCATGTGGTGATGTGTTGTGGCTTAGAAATTTCTGAAGGTGAGGGTATTGGAATAGGCTTCTTCCTTCAAGTTTGAGAAGAATTACAGGCAGCATATTGTGGGTTTTTCTGTGACAAGGTCTCCCTGTATATTCCAAGGTGGCCTTGAACTCAGGGTGTAGCCCAGGCTGACCTTGACCTTGACCCTCCTGCCTCAGCCCCCAGTGCCGGGGTTACGTGTGTGTGTGTGTGTGTGTGTGTGTGTGTGTGTGTGTGTGGCGCGTTAAGGGGGCCCAGTGTAAAGTCAGAGCAGGGCAGAAACAAGACAGTGGAACTGTCTGCTGTGGGGGAAACAGTGCTCAGGCGACTGTCTCTTTGCCTTTCTTTCCCCGTCTGCTCCATGTTCCCCTTCCCCTTGGCTGGAATGTTTCATTTAGTGGAGGCTCACAAGGATGTTTTTGTGAGGAACCCTGACAACTGTTTGGCCTGGCTCAGCACCTTGTGAGGTTTCTGTTTCGGAAAACTCCTAGAGGAAATGGATTAAATCCCTTCTTAAAGATAATTCTGTCAAAACTCTGACATCTGACCTGAAAGAGGAGCTGGATGTCCTTCTGGTTGTGGCTGCTCTGTGTCCTACAGAATTCAGTGTGGAGGAAAAAGTAGGTGACTGTAAAAGCCACGACTCTGTGTGGCCCTCACCCCGCCCAGGTGGATCCCAGCCCGTGGACCTGTCAGGGAGGAGTGACTTCTGGTTTCGCTTTCTCTTGGCTTTCTAGAAACCAGGCTCTGTCCTGACTCAGAAGGACAGCCTGGGGGAGCTGTGTGCAGGCTGCCTTTCCCGTACTCAGGAGGCTGAGCCAGGAGGATCTCCCTGAGTTCAAGGCCAGCCTGGAAAACAGAGCAAGATCCTGCTTCAAAAATAAATAAGTGAATAGGTAAATAACACTAGTTTGGAGAAAAGAGTCAGGTCTTTGTTCAGTTCAGGCTGCCGTTTCTGGCCCGCTTTTGTCTCCACTGTGGGCTCTCTGAGGCAGGAAGACGAAGAGGAAACTCGATGTCCTGTTCTTTTCTGCCGAGCAGACAGTGCTGGGTGTTATCTTCCTGGCGCTGGGAAGGAAATGGGAAGAATAGAGGAGCCCCGACTCCTGAGCGGCATGTGTAAGGGACCCACGTTTTGTTATCAGACATCTAAAATTATGTGGAGTGATACAGAAGCTGCTCACAAATATGTAAGGAAAGCCCACATTAGCTGCTATAGAAGCGAACGTGTCAATGTGGATCCTACATCCATCTTTACTGACTTACTACTGGACTCTTTATCTTCCTTTTTTTCAGTGTTTTTTTTTTTTTTTTTTTTTTTGAGACAGAGTCTCACTGTGTGGTCCAGGCTGGCCTTGAACTCACTTTGTAGTCCAGGCTGCCCTGGGACTTGCAGTGACCTTCCTGCCTTAGCTTCCTGAGTGCTGGGATTACTGATGTGTACTACCTAGGGTCATCAGGCAAAAGGATGCTTTAAAATTGGATCCCTTGTGGCCCATTTCTGTTTCAGTTAATGTCACTCATCCTGCTGGTGACATGGATTTGAAGCCCTGGAGCCCTCAGAGTGTTTCTCTCCCTCTCATGTTGGCCCTGTCCTCGTCCCAGTGAAGCTTGCCTGTTGGGCCTCCTGCACCACTGGGGAGCGATGGGAAGCTCCCTGCATGCGCTCTGCTGTCTGTGGGAATTCGAGTGCAGTGTGCTCGCCTTAGGAAGTTAGGGTTCCTGCAGAACATGAACTCATCTGCAGAGGGTCGAAGCCGTGGGAAGGGGAGACCAGTGGACCCTTGGGACAGAGTCCAGAAGGTTCCTGGGAGGAAAACAGCTTTGGCACTGGAAACCAGTGCCAGTGAGTGAACCCAGGGCCTCCTGCGTGCATAGGCAAGTGCTGTAACCAGGCCCCACCCCTACCCCATCCAGCTTGTTTTTTATTTAAAGCTTTCTTCTATTCTTTCCAGCACTGGGGATTGAATCCTGACCCTTTTGCCTTATTCCCAAATACGAACTTTTGTACTTTAACTCGTTCCACATCCCTGTCATGGCATATGAGCAATTACTACCTTCTTTTTGTTTCTGTGTTTGATTTTGCTCTTTTGAGACAGGGACTCAACCGTTAGTTCAGGCTGGCCGTGTGCTGATCCTCCTGCCTCAGCCTCCCAAGTGCTGGGATTACCAGCATGCACCACCGCACTCAGCATGATTACCATGACTACCAGAGGCTGGGTAGTGTTTGACCACGAAGCACCTTTAGCTTTCTAGACAGAGCAAACCCACTTTCCTCACAATGCCACAGCATTTTTACTAATTGTGTGAATGCTTATGCTGTGGAGTTAAACCAGTGCACTGATGGATGACTGGAAAAGCTTTTTGGTTGATTGAGAAAGGCTAGAGAGTCTAGGCTGGCCTTGAACTGTGTAGCTCAGGCTGGCCTCCAGGACCTGCTGATCTTCCTGCCTCAGCCTTCTTTTAGAAGCCAAACCTGGTAGTACACCCTTGTCATCCCAGCTGGGTGTGAAGCCAGCCTGGGCAATTTAAGCTAGACCCTGCCCCAAGATAAAAGACAGAACAAACAAAAAATGTGAGAGGTTGAGACAGGAGGGTTGAAAATTCAAGGCTGGGTTTGATTTAGCAAGACTGTCACAAAATAAAAAGTGTAAAAAATAGCTGGAGATAAAAATAGCTTCTCACAGGAAGTCATGGGATTCCCTCCTCCAGGACTTGAGTTCATTTCCGGGGAGTTTGCTGTGAGGCTGCAGCTCTCAGAAGCTGGCTATGTGGGCGCCAGTTTAGGGGATGTGTACAGCTAAGGCCTTGCGGGGCTTGGGGTGCAGTGACAGCGCTTGCCTGCCACACTGAAGCCCTGGCTCCTGGCCAGCACCATAGAAACCCAGCCAGACCTCGTACGTACGGGTCGGTTTCCTTCTGCCTCTGTGCAAGAAGCTGCCGTCAGCCTGCTCGCTCTGTGTGGCTGGCTCTCACTTATTCCTGCCAACCTAAACAGCATCCAGTAACCCAGCTGGTCGGCTCTTGTCCCTGCACGCAGAGACAGTGAATCTTGCTGGACAACTCTGTCCTGATGGGCGTGGTGGCACATGCCTGTAATTCCAGCCCTGGGGAGGCTGAGACAGGAGGATCTCTGGGAGTTCAAGGTCATCCTGGACTACATAGTGAGTTAAAGGGCAGCCTGAACTGCTAGGGCCATCCTGTCTCCAAAACACCCTCTGCCCCACCTCAGGGTGTGACTCTCCCTGTCACTGGAGCTCTGATTAGGTGACACCCACCCAAGTGGGTGATAGAGGCCTTGCTGCCCTGCTGAGCAAAAGGAAGCAGGCTGTACCCATAGGAGCAAACGCTGTGCTGCCCTGCCTTGCCCTGCGCCAGGCTGCGTGGGCCCCAGCTGAGGAATGAGGTGAGGACCCACTTGGGAATCGAGGCCCGGTCCTGGGGGTGGTCAGGAGCTGGTGCAGCGTTGCATTCTCACGGAGCCCGGGTGGTGGCTGCGCAGGCTGTGCTGTTCAGCTGCTTGTGCACCGAGTGTCTGGCTCGCTGCGGACCTGGTGCTGCCCCCTGTTCTGTTCTGCACACATCTGTGCAGACTGGCAGCAGAAAAGCGGTTTCACAAGGCAGCTTTTTCCCGAGTCTTTTCAACCAGAAAGCATTGTTTCTCTGGGCTCGGGAGCTTTCCTGTGGAATTCCCCCACCATGTCTGGATGGTGGCAGCAGCGAGATTGAGGAGCTGAGTCTCAGTGCAGAGTGGTGTCCCGCGGGCAGGCTGGCCCAGCCCTCAGGGCTCCTAAAGTGCAGATTGCTGGGACCTGTGCTCTGGGAGCTTTTTGGTTTGGTTTGAAGAGGTTCAAGAGCTTCTCTTCTCTTCTCTTCTCTTCTCTTCTCTTCTCTTCTCTTCTCTTCTCTTCTCTTCTCTTCTCTCTCTCCTCTTCTCTTCACACAGGCCCTTACTGTTTGGCCCAGGCTGGCCTCAAGCTCGAGGTGACCCTGCTGCCTCAGTCTCCAGAGCGCCAGGGTTACTGGTCCAGCTGGTCGCGCGTAGTTGATTCTAATCAGCATCGTTCGCTTCCAGTCCTCGTAGATGTGTTCCTAGTTTTGTGGATGTGGCTTCTAAACCCTGAGGCCTCGCGGGAGCAGCAGTCCCTCATATGCTCCTGGCCATTCGCTGCCCGCTGTGCTGAGCAGCCATGCATGACGCCTCTGGTCTGCATCCAGAAGTCTTGCTTGCCTAGGCCAGAAAGGACAGTGACCGCACCAGGCACCGGCGAACCCAGACAGCTGGAAACTCACTTTCCCCTCCCCTTCCAGTCATCAGGATGGTGCTGAAATTAGGTTTGAAGGGCAGAGGAGCTTAGGTTGCCCACAGCCTCCAGAGCCCCGAAGGGCAGGTGTTGTACACCTTGATTCCACCACCCTCAGAAGCGGAGACACCTTGCTTGGGTTGGGAGGCCAGGATGGTGAGGTGGTTCAGTTGCATCGTACTTCTCTGTAACTGACAGCACCTGCATGTGCTTTCTGTTGAAGCAGCTCCGGACCAGCCCCGGGGGAACCCAGGGATCCTGACCTCAGCCTCGTAGACCCGCCTTCGGACGAGGATGAGGTCATCAACAGCTCCGATGAGGAAGACGGTGGATCTGGGTCGAGTAAAGGGGAGCCTGAGCCACTGGAAGAAAAGCAGGTACATGGTGATAACTAATTATTCCTACTCTGTGCTTGTTGGCCTGTCACCGTGCTTGTGTGTTTTGTTGTGTTGTGTTTGTTTGTAAGTGGTGTTTTTAAAAGCAGTCCTTGGATACATATATGTGAATCCCAGCACTTGGGAGGCTAAGGCAGGAGGATTGCTGCAAATTTGAGGTCAGCCTGTGCTGCATATCTTACTCTGCCGCAAATAATAAAATAAAATTAGAGCAATGCTTGTGAATAGTGTTCATCCCCATGATGTGGACAGAGTTCCTAGTGATTTGTCTTAAAGCTTGCAAAATATTTTTAAAATGTACACGTAATTCCTGTTGTATGATAGCACCTGAAATGGTATGTTTCCAAGTAAATATTACCTAGAGATTATGATAATGATGATGATGATTAGGTCTTTTTGAAACAGGGTCTCACTCTGCCGGTCACGCTGGCCTTGAACTCACTTGTAGCCCAGGCTGGCCTTGAACTCCCAGTGATCCTCGTAGGCATGCGCCACCACGCCTGGCAATTTGTTATTTTTGAAAAACTGTTTTTACTAATGTCCACTGTTTTTTTTTTTTTAATTTAATTAGTAATGAAAACTCATAGGATTGTTCCTTGTATTGCTGCCAGTTCATAGATTTCTTTGAAGGAAAAGAATGATAAGAATTTCAGATTCAGCCCCATCTTTTTTAGGAACAGAATAAAAATGACAGTTAGTGGAGGAGTTATCATTTGTGTTAAGGCCTTACTTGGGCCACCTGGTGATTATCCTCATTAAGTCTATCAAGTTTACAAAAATGAGACCATTCGTGTAAGAGCAGACCCTCCCCAGGATGGCCTGGTGCGGGCGGTGGTGGTAAAGATTTCCCTCCTTAGGATTCTCAGTGCTCCGCCGAACCTCCCACCCTCTCTGCTGGGGACAAGCACAACAGCATGGAGCACACTGGTCCTCCCGCCAGGCCGTGCCTGCCCCCTCCGACCAGGTGCAGCCAATGCCGTTCTCTTCAGTGTTTTGCTTTCATAGTGACCAGAACACAGTCTTGGAGCTAGACTATCCTGTGTTCCCCTCCACTTCTCAGCCGTGTGATCAGAACATCTTCATTTCTCTTTTCCTGGCTTCCTGGTCTGTAAAAAGAGGAGAGAGCAGGTGGACGCTTCCCTGTGCTCTGAGATCCTTGTGATGGTGGATGACTGCACGCTGCTTAGAACAGTGCCTGACACCACTGGGAGCTCAATAGGGTTATTTGTGTGACCAGATTGAGGAGGCAGGGACATCCAGATGGCTGACCATAAGCTGGGAAACAGCATCCTCAGCCCCTAAGAGATCTCTCTTTCTACCACTAACTAGATGGCTGTGACTGAGATAATGCACAAGTAACACTGCCAGTGCGCAAAGACCGTGGATTCCGCTCTCAGCATAGAAATAAGTCCCTGAAGCAGAAGCTTCCCAAACCAGATAGCTCAGCTGTCAGGAATGTGGGAGGCCGCAGTGAAGCTGGCATCGGCCGGCACCTTCAGGGAGGCTGCTCCCTGCCCTGCTGACTCCCAGCCGCCCGGGCTGCCTGGTCACCGGCCCTGCTTCCTGGTTGTGAGGTGCTGTGCTCGCACTGGTATGTGTTGGGTCTCTTCTAAGGACAGCATTCGGATGCAAGCCCAGTGCAAATTCATGTGGAGCAATTCTGTTTGCACGTAAAGTCACAGTCCATGGTCCTGGGCGGGGAAGGGTCCAGGAGGACACGGGGCTTCTGCAGTTCAGAAAAGTAGATGTGTGTTACTGCATGCTTGTCTTACCGCATGAAGGAAAAGCAAACAGGAGTGAAAAAGTTTATCTCTGCTCAGGTAACCATGGCATTGCGAAGGAGAAGGTCTGCTGGTACCCTCTGTGTGCTGGTGCCTGTTCCTGTGCTGAGGGCGCAGGTGTCATGCTTGGCCATGGCAAGTAGCCTGGGATGGGACCTGACCCAGTGCAGACTCATTACTTGAAAGAAAGGGATTCTGGGCAGGTCAGGTAACCTGCCTTGGAGCCGGGCTGAGATTTCAACCAAAACCTTTGGGCAAAGGAGAACGTCATTCAGGGAAGCTAAACAGTATCTATGGAACCTGTTGGGGTGGGGAAATGAGCCATGCTAATCCCAATCGTCCCCTTTTCAGAAATGGTTTAGTTACGTATTTATCATTGTTTCAATGTTTAATAAATATTGGCTCTAAACATAAAGTATAGTAGCTCCAGGAATGGGGCACATGCCTGTTAACCCAGCACTTGGGAGGCTGAGACAGGAGCATCGCCATAGTTTGAGACCAGCCTGGGTTACATAGGGAGCTCAAAGCCAAGATGAACTACATAGTGAGATGCTGTTTCAAAAAATCAATAATAATAGTAAAAGCAGTAATAATAAAAAGTAAAATTGAAGTATATCCATTCTGTTTTTTGCAGTTAGAATATTTGTTCTGTTTACCTTCTCTGTATATTTGCTTGTTTGTTCTTTTTCAAGTCTCTATTTTTAAATTTAATTGAATTGAAAACCTTTTTTAGATAGGGTCTCACCTTATAATTCAGGCTGGCCTTGAAGTCATTATGTAGCCTAGGCTGGCCTCGAATATGAGGTGATTTTCCCATGCTAGCCTCCTGAGTGGGGAGATAGGGCATGTGCCACCATGCCCGGCTTTTAAATCTTCTTTATAAAATAGCTCATCACCTATTCTCTCATGAATAGTGGAGTGAAAAACTGAAGCGAGTATTGTCTCTTAGGTATTAATCATTCTGTGCCTCATATTTGGGGTAGCTTATTAATGATAAAGAGACGCGTTAGATCGGGCTGAATAGTAACGTTCTTTGTTTATTACAAATCTAGAGTAGGACGGAAGAGAGCTCTCAACAATGCTATTAAAAAGGATAGGTAAGTTTCACTGGGCCTTAGTAGTAAAGATCTGAGAAGATAACACAGTAGTTTGCAAAGCTCCACTGTTGTCAGAAGGTCAGAGCATGAAAGTGGGTTTCAGATCAAAGGTTCTGTTTTGCAAAGCTGGACTGTTTTGGGACTTGTTTGATTTGTTTTATGACCTTGACAAATAACTTCATGTATTTATGAGTCATGTTTCAGCTTCTACAGCATTGTGCTTTTTGGGAGATGCTGTTATTTAACAGGCAGGCTGCTTTGAAATGTGATATAATTTGAGTGGGGATTTTATTAACTGAGAAGTTGAGATGCCAAATATGGCCTCTCTTGAGGGTTTACAGAGAAGTGTTTTTCCACTGTTTGACTTTGTCAGAATCGGTTTCTATTTTGACTCACTGTGTATTGTAGGCTAGCCTGGTGCTCGCTATGTAGCCCAGGTTTGCCTGGAACTCTTGGTGATCCTCCTGCCTCAGCCTCTGGAGTGCTGGGATCACAGGTGTGGGCCCACCATGCCCAGATAGATCATTAGTCTTACCGGTTTTCTGTTTTTAAGGTGCCTGACCTTTTGTCCACTGTGAAAATTGTTTTGATCCATTGATTCATTTTCTGATAATTATCCTTTATTTAGCTGTTTAGTTTTCCTACTTGAAAAGGACAGATAAGTACATAGATTCTCAGAACTTTGAAGTCAGAGCAGGCCTTACCATCTAATTCAACCCACTAGTTAAGTTTGTGCCTGCGGTTTTCATGTGGTACAGCACGTGTGCAAAGTGATGCACTCCATCCTTGATTCTGTGGTGGTGCCGGTTGTCTTGTGCATGTCTGCTGGCTCCTGAGTAGTAACTGCACTGTGGATTGGGCACCAAGCTGTGTGCCGAAGGACGCAGGGTGGGCAAAGCATCGGCTGGAGAGAATGAGGGCATTTGCGCCAGTGAACAGAGCCCACTCAGTGAGTTAGGTCCTGTGAATACTGTGTGCACAAGAGACCTGTCTGTCTTTGGGAGTGCCAGGATACAAGTATGAAGGCAGCTTCTGTCACAAGTAAACCTTTGCTTGCCACCTTCAAGGATACCTTGAAACCCGGCAGGCAGAAGTCCTTGGGAAGCTGGGCGTGGTGGCACATGCTTAGAAACTCTGCACCAGGAGGCTGAGGCAGGAGGAGTGCTGCCACTCCAAGCTAGTCTGAGCTACACAGCAAGACCCTGTCTTCCCCAGCCCTCAAAAAAGAATTGCACTATGTACACAGATTGTGTTATTGTACAGATAAGAGTTGTTCAGGTTATTGTCTTCAAAAAATAAGAGTGTACCTTTAGTATAAATAGTTAGAGGCCTTTTAATATCTTCTGCAAGTTAATTTTTGTGGGTTAATGAGAGTTTTGAAAGCAAACCCTAGGCAATTGCATTTCTTTTGTTTTGGGTACCAAGACCTCATGCTTGCCAGGCAGGCGCTGTGCCACTGAACTAAATCCCTGGCCCTGTATTTCTTTGGAAAGACGCTTCAGTTAAGTAAATAAACTGCCAAGGCAGCCTTCGCTGCATGCTGGGGGCCATCGCAGAAGCAGGCTGAATAAGTGTGCCTGGTTTTTCTGCAGTGCCGTGGTCGGAATCCAAGGCCTCCAAGGCTAGGCAAATGCTGTACTGCTGAGCCACATCCTTGGCCAGACAACAGCAGGCCAGGAGGATCCTGTGTCTAAGGTAGCTTCATAAGCCCTATGACTCCCTGTCATTCATAGTGGTCAGCATATTCAAAGCTTTATGCTTTAGGCTTTGTTTTGAGACAGGGTCCTGTTACGCACACAGCCCAGGCTGGCTTGGACTCACATCGATCCTCCTGCCTCAGTCTCTTGAGTGCTGGGAATCCAGGGTACGCCACCACACCCAGGCTAGGGGATTGTTTCCTTGAGCCTGGCAATCTGGTATACAGGTGATTGTCAGGTTGTTTAGACTGATCCAAGACTGTGAAATGCTTTGCTTTTGCAACGTCTTTCCTGATACACATTTTGGCCAGTTGTGATCTTTTTCTCCTAAACACAGCAGCAGAGTTCTCCTTATATGTAGATATTTGTGTGTTTGCTGTGCTACCTGTATTCATTCTGGACGGCTGCGGCTGTTCCTTTACTCTCCTCCTGTAGCACCCATTTCCTGGCGGCATCCCAGACTCCAGATTAGAGTCTCAAGAGTCACCCGGGACTGTGACATCGAGAACGCGCCTGGTGGTCTAATCTATCTTGTCGTCAGGCTCCGCCGCCCAGCAGCCAGTCAGTTGGCAGCAGAGCTGTTTTCTCTTAGTAACTTTGCTATCCAGTGTGGGAATGTAGTTTCCTCACTTCAGAGACTACAGTGACGGAACAGAGATGGTGCTGAGTCCTTCCTTTTGGAAAGGATCTCAGAATAACAGGAAGGATCAAAAATGCAAGTCCGTCCTAGGGTCTGTTAGGAGACAGCAGGAATTCCAAATGCAATTTGGAAGCAAGGCATGCCATCCCATAGCAGTGTGTAAAGGTTTCAGTTTAACATGTTTGGCAAGACCTGTATTTTGTCATTTTCGTTTTATAGCTATTGTGTAGGTCTGAAGTTGTATCTTGTGAGGCATTTCCTTAGTAATTAATTGCATCAAGCAACTTTGCATATGCTTATTTTGGCCATTTTAATATATTCCTTGGTGAAATATCTACCTCTCTCTCTGTCTCTCTGTTTCTCTCTCTCTCTCTCTCTCTCTCTCTCTCTCTCTCTCTCTCTTTCTCTCTCTCTCCTCTCACCCTCCCTCTCTCTCCCTCTCTATTTTGGAGGCAGGATCTTACTATGTAGTTCAGGCTGGCCTAGAACACACTGTATAGTCCAAGGCTGGCCTCGAATTCCTGGCCATCTTCATGCCTCAGCCTCCCGAGTGCTCAGATTACAGGCATGTGCTATCACACCTGGCTTCCTTTTCTCATTTTTAACTGAGTTGTTTGAGTTCTGTGGAGTTATCAGAGTTTTTTCTATATTTTAGGTATTCATACTTTTTCGAGAATCATTATGTAGGCAAATGGCAAATTAGCAGCAGGCTGAGATCAGTCAGAATGGCTGTCATCCTCAGAATACCAAAACAGTTCTGGGCCTCGTGACCCACGCCTGTAATCCCAGCACCCTGAGACAGGAGGATCGCTATGAGCTGGCCAGCCTGGACACACAGTCAGCTATCTCAAGGCCAGTTTGAACTACATAGGGAGACCCTGTCTCAAAAACAAGACAACAACAACAAAAAAGGAACGCAATGAATGCTTATGAGGATGCCAGGAAAGATCTTTCTGCACTCCTAGGGCAACATGGTCAGCACAGCCCCTGCGGAAGTCAGTGGGGGCCCGCAGAAGACCAAGCTTAGAGCCACTGTGTGATCAGCTGTGCCGCTCCTTGGTGCAACCCACAGCATTGAAGTCAGCGTGATTATTGTGGCACAACTCACAGGAGACAGGAGGTGGACCCCATCTAGGTGCCCCTTGATGGGCGCATGGAGCAAGGAAATGTGGTTCCTGTCCTCAGTGGAGCATTTATTTAGCCACAGGGAAAGACAGAATTCTGTCACTTGCAAGAAATGAATTGGAAAGACACATGTCACACACGCTATGTCATACACAGAGTCCACGAAAGGTGCCGGGAGAGACTGTAATTAGACAAGAGGAAAGGATGAGGTGTCAGGCAGGAATAGCCATGGGCAGGAGCAAATCTGGGCTTTGGAATCTTCCAGAAATGTGGAAGTAGAGGGGGGTGGGGCGAAGGGATGGTGAAACTGTGCAGGTGCGAATCTGCCAAAGTGAAACCCACTCATCTGCATAACCAGTTTTTAAAAAGTGTGGAAAAACAAAAAAGAATCCAGATGTGCAGATGTTTCCTCCTGCCTGTGTCTTTGTCACCTGTCACAGAGGAGCCTGGCTTCTCCCTAGAGGAAGCGTAGATTTCTGAGTAGTTACCCTGCCCCCCATTCCCTCCGACCTGGTCCTTGTGGAGCAGTATCTCAAAGAAGAAGGGGGAGAGTTGAGCAGCCTTCCCTGAGGCGAGGCCAGGCGAGGTGCATGTGGAGAAGCAGGGAAAGGAAGGGCCAGAAGCCAGCCCAGTAGGGTTCCTTCTTGGTGGTGTGGGAGAGGGAACCCAGGGCTGCATTTCCAGCCCCTTCATCTGTCTCTAATATTACAATGTACACAGGATTTTATAAGCATGAAACTGTAACCACAAATGACGGAGAGCAACTCATTTCAATAGCAAAGCATTGATTTGCTAATTATTTTTTTCAAAACAACTATTATCCAATTGTGTGTGTGCACACTCACATGTAATCTTGGTTATTAGTGCAGGACTGATACATGATCTGTAAATCCAGCTGTGCTCAAAACTACTTCTTAAGGACTTTAAGCTGTGTGTAGTTTCTTTCTTTCCATAAATGTGATCCTGCTGTCCCAGGCTCCCAGAATGCCAAGGTTACAGACTCCTACTGTGATTCCTGGCTACATACCCAGCTTTCAGAACGTGACTTTGGAAGCATAGGGGCTGAGCTCCAGAAGGGCCTGGGGCTACCCTTCACTGTTGCTACTTATTCTCCAAAGTCCTGTGTCATGATTTATCTCTCATCTAATTCTCTAGGTTTGCCTTTGTGGTGTTTTTGTTTTGTTTTTTATCGGTATCAGGGATCGAACTCATGACTGCATGCTTACAAAGCATGTGCTTATGTTGCTGAGCTAAATCCCCAGCCCCCTTTGTGGTGTTTTGTAGTATGAATTATGTGCTATGAGGAAACTTCCAAAAGGATCAGAGCTAAAATTCTCGTAGTCATCTCTGTTATTGTTTTATGAGTTTATGATATTTTTTTTGAGACAGGGTCTCACTATGTAGTTTTTCAGGCTGACCTTGAGCCCGCTGCCATTCTCCTGCTTCAGCCTCCTCAGTGCTGGGATGATGCGTTTGCACCACCATGCCTGGCTTGAGTTCATGCTTCTTTAATGTGCTCTTCTCGGCAGGAGGAAGGCACTGGTGTGAAGAGCAAAGTCCATCACATCGCAGAGGAGATCATGAGCTCCGAGAAAGTGTGAGTCCCTGCCCTGCAGTTGCCACGCCTGCTTCTCCCCGCCGCCGGCTCATTTCAAACATTTCTCTCATTGCTGTTTCCTACAGGTTTGTGGATGTGTTAAAACTGTTGCATATTGTAAGTATGCACTGATATTTTCTTCATGTCTAAGACTGTCCTCTTTCGTACTCTTATACCAAGAGATTTCAGCATAACAAACTTAATTAGATGTGTATGTTTTCTGCCACTTGGTTATATTTTTAAATTCATATATATAGGTAAATAAACATTTTGTAAAATATATTTTGTATATGTAGATACATCCCTATGGCCTCTGAAAAGTAAGGCTTTATCTTCAGTGTCCCTAATCTTTCTACCCTCATAAAAGTTTATACATCTTTCTTTCTTTCTTTCTTTCTTTCTTTCTTTCTTTCTTTCTTTCTTTTTCTTTCTTTCTTCCTTTCTTCCTTCCTTCCTTCCTTCCTTCCTTCCTTTCTCTCTCTCTCTCTCTCTCTCTCTCTCTCTCTTTCTTTCTGTTGGTTTTTTAGTGCTGGAGACCAAACCCAGGTTCTTATGCCTGTTAAACACACACTCTACTCTGAGCTATGCCCCTAGCCCTCGAAATAACAAATGTAAAAATCCCCATGTCCTCGGACATTTGCAGAAAGTATCTGCTGTCAGTAGAATCTTGCACTGGCCACGTGGAAAGCATATCCTTATTATTGTTCAAAACTGCTTTCTTCTTAGTCAGATGTGGTGGTGCAGGTCTGTAATCCCAGCACTCAGGAAGCTAAAGCAGGAGGATTGCCTTGAGTTTGAGGTCATCCTGGGCTGCATAGCAAGACTCTGTCTCAAAAAAAAGAAAAAAATCATAAAGATCATCTACTTCAAATGTCCATTTCTGGGAGCCACTTGAATAAGAAGAAAAAAGTTTTTGTTTTGTTTTTTTTTAGACAGTGTCTCATTATATAGCCTTGAACTTGTGCCAATCCTCCTGCCTTAGTCTCCCAGGTGCTGTAGAGCCAACTTGTTTAAGTGGCATATAATCATCAGCTTGTGCAGACCTGCTGGGGAGCAGTTCCGCGTGTCTGACTACATGCTCGCTTTTCCCAGGCACCCTGTCCTGGCAGGTGTCTGCAAGTTCCAGAGACCCTGGCAGTTAGAGGGCCTGGGTGCTGCTTTCCTCCAGTTCTCCCTCGGAAAGATACTGAGACTTAACAAAAGGCAGGGGAAGGCTTGGGGAACAATGCAAAGAGAGACTGCAGTAAAATTGTATGGTATAATTACAGATATCATAAATGAAACTCAACTGCTGAGAAACAAGTCTCACGAAATACCTTTTGTCTCTGCAAAAAGAGAGCAATTATTTTTCTCCTTTCTTTAATACCTGCGAACATAGAAAGCTAGTTACACTTCAGTGTGATTCACATTTTCCAGATGATTCCCCTGCACTTTTTACTTGGTCCACCAGGAATAAAGGGGCCTGTTTCCTGGGAGAGAAATCTCTGGTTTTGGAAATATTTTCTTAGAAATTCTTTCACATTGCTGATTAGCTTTAAAAAAAATATTTCCCTGTGAATGGTTCCTCATATTAACTCTTGACTCTACTGGTAAGTTCTTTCTTATAATTCTTTATTAAATGTTAACATCGTATTTTACCACCCAGACAGGTTTGTTAAGCTTTGGCAAGCTTGCTGGGCTTTGTCATTTCGAACAAATAGATGACTTCTCAATATAAACTACTGTATATTTGCTGTTGCCCCCTCGATAGCCCCACGAGTCTTAGACAGCGGATAGAATGAAATAAGACCCTGCGAGGTGGGGTCATTTCGGTTCTCTTGCTTACTTTCCAAGGCAAATGGCTGTACCGTGCATGTAAACAGCCATAAGCCTGTCACTTACACTGCTGGTGGCATGTGTGCAGCACGCCATGATCACACTCTTCATGAGGACTTGGGAGCGTGTGTAACACATCTGACGCCTTCTCACTTCCCCTTCCCCTCACCTCCCTCCATCTCTTGGTCCCCTTTCCATTTACAAAAGATCTGTCCCTCTGCTTCCTGTTATCAGGTGTATTAAATAGGAAGAGTTTTTTCCTTCATTTATCTCGTGGATTTGGAGGTTGATCCCAAAGCTTTAACTGTTCCAGGCAGTACCCCTTAGTGACCTCCCCGGCCCTAATTAGTGTGAAGTTCTAAAGGAATATTTGGAAAGGGAACGATTAGAGCCCTAGGGGGTTTTTTAAGGCAAAAATGGGCTGGTTGAGTAGTACTCACTATGCAGCAGTTACCACTTCCTGTAGGTAGAGACATATGTCTCCTTGAAACTTTGAGACTCATCAGATCCATAGAGCTAGAGGTAAGTCTGTTACCAAGAAGAATATCATTATATTGTAAAAACATTACTTGTCAGATGAATAAAAGGCTTCCTTGGTTCTCATGTTTCCCATCTCCAAATCCCATCCTTTTCTGACCGTGCCCTGGGTCGCATGTGCCGTGGCATTAACATTTGCCCTGACTTGGGGACAGAGCCCTCTTCCAGGTACTGTGGCTGTGCTCCCTGTCACTGGCTTGTCAGCAGCTTCCTCTGGGAGCACTGAATGACGACACTTGCAGCCTGGGTGTTTCCTGCCCTGCTTTACTCCCAAGCTCCCAGGGAGTGGTGGATCTTTGTTGCTATTTTGAAACACACACACACACACACTGTGTAGTTTGGGCTGACTTTGGACTCACTGCGTAGTCTAGGCTGGCTTTGAACTCAAAGTGATCCTCCTGCCTCGGTGTCCTGAATGCTGGGATTACAGGTGTGCACCACTACTCCTAGTGGAATTGGGGATCTTAAATGATGTTTGTTACTATTTAAGTTTCCAAATCTTTTAATTAAGTGAAATGGCCTTCTTTTGAGTGCTGCATCTCTGGTAGTATATTGTATGGTGACATTCTACAACTCAGCTACTTTAATCCTCATACAAACTCTACCAAAGAGAGTTGTTTCTGTTTTGCAGTGAACAAAAGTAAGCTAGCTATTGAAAATAACCCACTACTAAATGCCAATGCCAGTCTTTTAATTTAAAAATTTTATTATGTTTCCCCTTCTTTATTAGCATATGTTTGTGATACATCATAAATACATTCATCTTGGGGAAAAGCCAGCCTTTGAAATCTGGCCTGTCTGAGCTTTTGCACTTAATGATTGTGTAAAAATAAATTTGTTTTTCTAGTATTGGGAATTGGACCCAGAGCCTTCACCTTGAGCTATGTACCCAGCCCTTTGAAAAATTTTTTTATGTTGAGACAGGATCCCACTAAGTCACTTGATTCCCATGGCTGGGCTTGGGAACTGGTACTGTTCTGGTACTGAACTTGGTACTGTCATCCTCCTGCCTCAGCCTCTCAGTGAGGAGGGATTGTGGGCAGGCACTGCCACACCCAGCTAAAAATCATTGCTCCAAACCCTGCCTTGCTCTACAGGATCTGGTGTGTGTCGGGGCACATCAGCTTGTTTTCAGAGTTCTTTCAGTCACCCAGGAAGCCAGTGGAAGTCTAGGGAGGGGAAGGGCAGGGACGGTGAAAAGAGTGAAGATGTGTCTCGTACGAGGACCAGCTCCCCTGAGGGATATAGCCAGTGTGGACGAAAGCACGTTTTAGCCGGAGATGAAGCCCGCTTTGGTTGCCCGGGTTTGTGACGGTAACTGCTGGTCAGCGACTAGACGCGGTTGGGAGTGAGAGAAAGGTGTGTTTTCAGGCGTGTTTCACAGCTTGCCACTGATGCTGCTGGACCACCTAAGCTAAGTGTCCATGCAGCAATGGGAGGGGGGTAACTTCGCTGGGGAGATACTTTTACTTAAAAACTGGAGCCTGACTGTTAGGAGGTGCCCTTCCCCCCGCTTTGACCTCGCCCTTTCCCACTCATTTCTGTGCAAACATTTATCACGGCACTTTGGCCTCAGCAGCCGCCTTGCTCTGTATCATAGGAAGTGATTCTCATTGAGCCCTTATCTGTCCCCGTGTCCGCCCCTGTCTGTCCCTGTGTCCATGTGGACCTGTAATTCACTGTGCATTGACAGTGGCTCTGTGACGCCCGAGGTCGGGAGTCCTCTGGGTCGGCTGGTGGCAGAGTCACCTTCTCTGGCTCTGAGTGGAGAGCCCGACCCCAGTGCTCAAGGCTGGCTACCGGGTGCTGCGGTGCCTCAACTGCTGGCATGCGGTTGCTTTTCATTGATTTATGCTTGGGGCTTCCCCGAGTGTTCAGAGTGGGTGAGGCTTTGGCTTCTTCTGGTTCTTATTTATGGTGGGGGTGGGATTAGTACAGACAGCAAGCCAGGTGTGGTGTCACATGCTTGCAGTCCCATGCCGGGGAAGTTAAGTCAGGAGGATCACTGCGAATTCAAGACCAGCCCAGAGAGAACCTGTCTCAAAATAATAATAATGTTAGGATGTGCCTCATCATTCAGACACCCGTTTCGGTCTGTAAAATCCCAGCTTAAACAAACGTCTGGTTGCTGGGACCAGAAACTATAGCGTAGGTGGTTCAGTTCTGCTGCAGACCATGGTGGGGTTCATATAGGACGGAAAGGAGCAGCTCCAGCCTAGATCCACGGCCCCTGTAGCTTTCCTGGCTTTTCACTCTCTCTCCTGCACCGTGCATTTTAACCACCCAGCTTCTCCAGCGTGAAAAGCAAGCTTTGGATCTAATTCTGAAGTGCTAGTCCTGCTGTCTGGCATCCACACTGACTTAGTCAAGGAAGTGTTAATGAATTCTTCTGCTCCAAAATAGCTTTGCTTCTGGCTCGGAAGTATCATCACACCTTCCCAAATTATGCTGGCTCTTAACATTTAGAAGAGTAATCATCCTTATTGTAAGAAAATAATAAAGATGTTAACCAGGCATGATGGTGCACACATATAATCCCTATACTCTGGGAGGCTGAGTCAGGAGGATTGTAACTTTGGGCTTAGCTTGTGCAATTTAGCAATTTAGTGAGACCCTACCTGAAAATGAAAAAAAGGGGGAGGGAGATAAGGACGCAGCTTAGGACAAAGGCACTGAACCTGACCCCCAGTATCACACACACACACACACACACCCACACACAAAAGTGACCTCTCTCTAGTGGCACCACTTTTTGGCACTGACTGAGGCTGGTGAAGAGCTGAGAAGTTTCAAAGCCTGGTGCAGCCTCTGCGGGATCCTTGAAACCTGCTGCCACTCCTCTGATGGGGAATCCAGAGGATAAACCAGGCACAGAGGGGGGTGGGGCCTGGTGCCCAGGAGGAAGGGACCTGTGGGCCGAGCCCAGGGCAGCTGCTCCCTGTGCTGGTACCGGACCTCAGGCTTCTCAGTGCCCAGCATGCACTGCACTGCTGAGTGCACCCAACACTGCTTCCGTTTTCAGAAGGTGCAGGGAAAGCCAGTGTTGGCCACAGGAGAAAGGATGATGACGGACACTTGGTGCTGATCTTTATTAGGATGCGTGCACCTGCCATAGGCTTGGGGACCCTGTGTTGCTGTTTTGGAGACTGGCTTTCACTTGTGGTTCAGGATGACCTGGAACTTAGCAATCTTCCTACCTCAGCCTCCAGAGTGCTGGGATGATGCAGCTCACTGTGGCACAGAAGTTGGCCCAGGTTCCAGCATGGCAAGCGGGAATTTGGAGCCAGGGGCAGAGAGGGAATCCCGTAGCTGGTGCCCAGAGAAACATCGGCAGGAAAGCAACTGCGGCTCAGCCGGTGAAGCCTGCAGGCAAGATTCCTGCTGAGGACGGGTCAGGCTGAGCAGGTGTCACCCACTGATGGTTAAGGAGGCAGTGGGCTCAGATGCGAGGGCCAGGATGTTCCTATGATTTTGCAGGAAGTGCTCCAGACCTAAGAAAGGCTCAAGAACCTGATGAGTTTGTTCAAGCAAACTGTCAAGTACTTGTCAGAATATCTAACCATCTGGGTCTCATGAATAAATGCTGTCTGCATTACCATGGTTTTAGAGCTGGGCGCATGGTGCATGCCTGTAATCCCAGCACTTTGGAGGCTGAGCCAAGAGAATCACTGAGTTTGAGGCCAGCCTTGGAGCACAGTTAGGCGGCAGCTTGCTCACACTGGATCAGTCTCAGAGTTCCTCAGCTGCCAACATCATCGTCGTCGTCACAGCGCAGGAAACACCTTCTAACCAGAAACCAGAAGTCCTGCTTGCTTTTGCTGCTGGAAGACAGAGTAGGCTGGGCTGTGTTTTGCTGAGCAAGGAGTTCTTGTGTTCAGTGTCATGAATCACCAGGCTGGTTTTTAAAAATTGCCGAAGATGTTTAATTGTGGTGCTCTGAATACCCTCGCAGGCTGGGGGCTCCTTGGGAGTGTGTCCCACGCCTCTGCCTGGTGGCCTTCCCAGGGTTTCTGGATGTCTTCAGCAGCTCCACTTGTGCTGGTGAATGTGGGTGTAGAGGGTATAGAAGCGAGTTGTTGGGGATGGCACTGCTGGTATCCTGGGTTTCTGGAAGTGTGTCGCGTGGATTTCTGGGTTACAGCTGATGCGAGCTGTAAATTCTTGGTAAATTGTATGCCAATTAGTTACTGGTACTAGAAGTTTCTTAGTTACTGGTGTAAATAGTGTGTTTCTTTGGGCTGATGGGACTATTAAACCAGTAAAGGTGCTTCTGAGTCATGAGCGAGAGTTCTCAGCACTTGTTAAGAGGAACTGACTTTAAAATAGTTTTGAAAGAGTCCCTTGTCTGTAATCCCAGCACTCTGGAGACTGAGGCAAGAGAATTACTGAGTTCGAGGCCAGCCTGGGCTATATAATAAGTTCAATTTCAGCCTGAACTGTGTAGGGAAACCCTGTCCCAAAAAGACAAAAAAAAAGAAAAGTCCCTTTGTAAACCTGGCCTGCCAGCACTTGGGAGGCTGAGGCAAGTGGGGTTCCTGTGAGTTTGAGGCCTGCCTGGGTTGCATGGTGAGTTGAAGGCCAGCCTGCACCACCTACTGAGACTGTCTCAAATAAAGAAGAAATAGAGGAGAAATTGCCATACTTTAGGAAAGGAATGCGTTTTTGTAATTTTAAATTGTACCTGATGGTTTTTTAAAATCATACCGGTTTGTGTGTGTGTGTGTGTGTGTGTGTGTGTGTGTGTGTGTGTGTGTGTAAGGGGTGCGGGAGGGAAGAGCCTCTGGTTTGGACTGAGGGAAGGCAGTGGGAGAGGAAACCTAGAGAGAATAATTTTCTCCAACCTTTGCTTTCTGGGGGACAAGCCTTTGTCTTTGGCTCTTCCGCAGCTGAACAGATCCACTATTGTTTCACTAGCATCTTGCACTCAGCCCCAGGGGACAGGGAAATCCAGGCAAAGTTTTATCTGCTCCTCCTGGAGTGCTGGGCAGGCACTGCTGATCTACATTAAACCAGGGCGATGTTCAGAGAAATTGTTCCTCTGAAAAGTGTAAATCCTAGTGAACTGATCAGGAGGTTGGCTAGAGGGAGACAGGAGAATTTCACGTCCACAGTGACTGTGGTGTTGCTGCTGCGTGCTGCACGCATTGCAGAAAGTTTCCGTTCAGTCCCTAATTAGGGTGTGCAAAGTGCCGCCCACACAAGGAGAGAACCAAACTGAGGCGGCTGAGGGAACCCAGTCAGTCTGGGGCAAGGGCCTAGCACAGGACTGAATAGCAACCCCGCACTTCCCTGCTGATCCCTCACCTAGAATGTGCCAGTTGTTGGGGAAGTGATTGGGGACAGTGGGACACTTGTTTGTTTTTTAGAGACAGGGTCTCATACAGTGATTCTCCTGCCTCAGCCTCCTAAGCGCTGGGGTTGCAAGTATGCACCACCACACCTGGCTTACAAAGAGACTCTTAGATACTGAGAAAATTGGCCAAAATCTTCTGAGAACTTTTAAAATAGATGAATGTGTTTATACGATGCTATTAGAATAACTTTGAAGTCTACAGTTAGAATACAATTTCCAGATACCTTCATTGTGTAATTGCTAAGTTTGAGGATCAAATGAAAGTGTTTAAGAACAATGTGATGGTCTGTTTCAAAATCAGAGATCCAGGGGCTGGGGATTTAGCTCAGTGGCATAAGCACCTGCTTTGCAATCAGGCGGTCATGAGTTCGATCCCTGGTACTGATAAAAAGAAAAAAAAATCAAAATCAGAGATTCCCCCTATGAAGTTCTTCAGAATTTCCTGTTTACGTGAGTGGGGAAGGAGGAAGCAGGCACTCAGGTCACATCGCCTGCAGTGAGTGTCATTAAAGGGGAGAGGACCTGGGAGGAAGCTCTTCCCGAGTCTGTGTGTGTGTGCATGCACGTGTGTGCACAGTTTTCCTCCTCTGCATTCCCACAGGACTTTCGGGATGCCGTGGCCCATGCTTCCAGGCAACTGGGGAAGCCCGTGATTGAAGACCGGGTCCTGAATCAAATCTTGTACTACCTGCCCCAGCTCTACGAGCTCAACCGAGATCTCCTGAGTGAACTGGAGGAAAGAATGTCTAACTGGTAAAAAACGTGGGATGAGTTTCGAGATTTCCCAGAGTTTTCTGTTTCAGGCGAAACCCGAAGGGCCTCACCTGTGACAGGAGGTCTGTTGAGCTGTTTCCATCCATTGAGCTCTCTCGGCACTTCTCTGTAGGCTGGGGTGTGTGCGTTTGTGTGTTGGAGATTGAACTCAAGGCCTTGAATGTGCTAGGCAAGCGCTCTACCACTAAACTCCATTCCTAGCTCGAGATTACTCGAGTTTGGTTTTATTTTTAGTTAGTTAGTTTGTTTATTTTGAGACTGGCCTCACAATGTACTTGAGGCTGCATGGAAATCGTGTTATAGCCCAGGCTGGCCTCAGTCCTCCAGCCTCAGCCTCCTGAGTGCTGGGATTACAGGCCTGCACCTCCACACCCAGCCTGGTGGTTTTTTTTAGGTTCTGATTGTGCTGAAGAGTGAGTGGGCTGGAGGGGAAAGAATAGAAGGAAGCAGGGAGGCCAGATCCTAAGGCAGGCAGAGCCCAGCCACACCATGCGGGGAAGGGGCGGGTGACGAGGGGCCAGGCCGCGTCCTGCGGGAGAGAGGGACAAAGGTGAGCCCGCGGCCTAGCCAAGCAGCTGCTTGATGCTGGAGGTGGTCCGGACACATTAACCACTCTCCTTTTATGTGTGTGTGTCTGCTTTCTCTTCATAGGACCGAGCAACAAAGAATTGCTGATATCTTTGTAAAGAAGGGCCCCTATCTGAAAATGTACTCCACATACATCAAAGAATTTGATAAAAACATAGCTTTGCTGGATGAGCAATGCAAGAAAAACTCGGGTTTTGCTGCTGTTGTGAGAGAATTTGAGGTATCCACAGCTGTTCAACTTTTCTTCCTTCTTTTTCTTAAGCTTTAATATAGTTGGCACTCATTGTAAACAGAGCTCGCTAACAAAAATGTGTTAATATATAATCCCCTCTTCTGGGTGAGGGGCCACAGGCTACTTGGGGGGATGAGGCAGGAGAATCAAGCTTGAGGCAGAACAATTTAGTGAGATCCTATTTCAAAATAAAACTTTAAAAAAGGACCGAGGATGCAGCTTAGTGCTCCTCAGGTTCCTGGGGTGAGGATGAAGAATTTGACCACATCAGTCAGTAACGAAATAATGCGCCACACTGAACTCTGAAACTCACTGGGTTTCAGTGGACTATTTTAATTTGGGACTTTTTGAAAATTGTGATGAAATACACGTAATGCAACTTGACATTTTAGTCTTTGTTTGTTTGTTTGTTTTTGAGCCAAGGTCTTGCTGTGTAGCCCAGGCTAGCCTTGAACTCATAGCAATTCTCTTGCCTCAGCCCCCCGAGTGTTGGGACTGTGGGTGTGCACACCCAAGCCCACTTTATAGTGGGTTCTTTTTCCTGTTTTTCCTCTCCTCTGGTGCTTTTACGTTATCAAAAAAGGCAGCGTGATGTAGTTGGGGCAACTGATGATGGACTGAGGATTTGGTTGATGTGCGGCCAGTTGTAGTGCTTCTTTGGCATCCACAGGAGATCCAGAAGACAAAAGAGTTAGCACTCGGTAATGGTGCTCGTATGGAGTCCATCTGCCTTCCTGTCTTTCTTCTTTCCCTGCCCTTCACCTCCCTTTTGCTGTCTCTGTCTATCTGTCTGTCTGTCTCTCTTATTCTCTTTTCCCCCCTCTCCCTTCTCCCTTCCCTTCTTTCTCTTGTGCTGGAGTTCAAACCTGACAAGCATTCTGTCATAGAACTATATACCTCTAGCCTTGAAGATACGTTCATAACACATTAACCCAGATAACATAATGGGACCTTGTCTCAAAGTTTTGGAGGTTTTCTTTTTTGTTTGTTTGTTTGTTTGTTTTGTATTTTATTTTATTTTATTTTATTTTTGAGACAGCCTGTCTATATAGTTCAGGCTGGCCTTGAACTCACTGTCACTGTGTAGTCCAGGCTGGCCTCAAATTCCCAGCAATCCTCCTGCCTTGGCCTCTTAAGTGCTGGGATTATAGGTGTACGCAACCATACCCAGCACAGTAAAGGTTTTAAAAAGAGCTGGGGATGTAGTTTGCTCAGTGGAACAATGCTTGCCTAAGATGCTGAAGACCCCGGTTTTAATCCCCCATGTTCCAAAGAAGGAAACTGTGGCATCAGAATGTGGTTGGAAGCCTGTGGAGGGTGAGAGGGTGCCCGCCTGTAAGCCCAGCATTGGGAAGGCTGAAGCTGGAGGATCACCTGGAATTTGAAGCCAACCTGAACTACACAGTGGGACTCTGTCTCCAGAAAGCAAAACGAAACAAAAATAAAACAGTTAAAAATATAAACGCCACCATTTATGGCGATGCCTTTTATTTTCAGATGAGCCCTCGCTGCGCCAACCTGGCCCTCAAGCACTACTTGCTCAAGCTGGTCCAGAGGATCCCGCAGTACCGGCTGCTGCTGACAGGTGGGCCTGGCCCCAGGTCCACCCCTGTTGGACCTCTGTCCCGAGACCTCTGCGTGTGGGTGTTTGCAGCCCCGTGGCTTTCAGGGCTCTGACGGTCCCCGCATGTCCTTACCCTAGGCATCCCTACCTGCTTCCCTTTCTCCATCCCAGCCTCACCGTGTGTCATTCCTCACTAATGTTATTCATCCCTAGAAGGTGTTTTCCCAACTGCTTGAGAATGGGCTTTGGGAGCTGGCCGTGGTAGCACACACCTGTAATCGCAGCCCTGGGGAGGCTGAGGCAGCAGAGTCTTGGACAGTTCTGAGAGTCTGTGAGAGTTCAAAGCCAGCCTAAACCACATGGTGGGACCCTGTTTTATTTATTCATTTTTTCAACTTATTAAAGGTAGTAAAATCCAACAAAACAAGACAGAACAAAGCCAATTAAAACCATGCAGCAAAACTGGGTACAAAATTTCAAAGCAGGAGAACAACAATAGCTACCATAGTATATCTTATTATGTTCACCATAGTTGTCCATTCTGTCAGGTATAGCAAAATTAAACCAAAAACAAAACATAATAATATCAATCAAAACAGAATGTTGAATAGAGCAAAACAATCAGAAAAAGGCAAAACAGTAAGAACAGTATTGGATTTCAAAGACAAGACAGAAGGAAATCCCCCATATTTGCTCTATTGCATGCTGTCATCCTTCCAATAGATGCTCAGACTGTTGGCGCCAGGCCTGCAAAACCAACCCACCAATAGAAGCATTTAGTTACCTTCTGTACCTTAGTTGCTATCAACTCAGCCTGTCCTCCAAACCAGCCGGGTGGTTGGCAGGGGGACACGTAGGTAGGGTTTGATTCTCAGCCTGTGTGCCAGTGGGCTCATGGGATGATGTGCTATCTTACCTTTTTCTCCCTGGAACCCGTGTGGCTTACAAGAAAGTTCTGCCTTACCAGAACTAGCCAGTTGATTTCTTGGCCTATGGTTGGGGCCATGCATGAATTGACCAAGCATGGCCAATTCTTGGGGGATGGGGGGAGGGAGACCCTATTTTAAAAAAACCCCAGCACCTTCAGAGGACCACTGCTGGGCACACAGTGCATGCATCTTAGTCCCACTGCTTGGGAGTCTGATGCAGAAGCATAGCTTGAGCCCCAAATTTGAGAAGAGCCTCGGTGACACAGACTTGGTCTCAAGGAAAAGGTGGGAAGGAATCACCTGCTCAGAGGCTGCACTGCCTGTTAGCAGGGCAGGCAAGTGGGCCGGCTGCCCTCCTCCAAGGGTTGCTAAGGGCGAGTGGGCCCTGGTGAGGAGCAGTGTTTGTTGGTGTGAGGTTTCTTTCGCTCACAGTGAGCTCTAAATTAAGAGTGAGCTGCTATTAGCAGCAGTAGTAGCTGTATTCTTTTTTTTTTTTTTTTTTTTTTTTTTTGCAAGATTTCAGAGCTATCTGTCTAGTCTACCACTGTAATAATTTAAAAAGTCTGTAATTCCAGGAGGCTGAGGCAAGAGGATTGCAAGTTGCAGGCCAGCCTGGGCAATTTCGTTTGACCAGGTCTCAAAATAAAAGCCGGGCGCGGTGACCTTGCCTGTAATCCCAGCACTAGGAAAGTTGAAGCAGGAGATCACTACAAGTTCAAGGACAGCGTGGGGTACAAAGGGAGTTCAAGGCTAGTTTGAATTACATACACATCAAGACACCATCCCAAAACAAAAAAAGAAAAAGGACTCGAGGTGTAGCTCTGGTCTAGAGTTCTGGCTCTGTGTGTGTGTGTGTGTGTGTGTGTGTGTGGTAGGCCCTGGGTTTGATTCTTGGCAATGTAAAAATAAAAATAAGCACATAAAAAAGAAAAACAGTAGTGATAAAAAAGCAAGCAAGGAAGGAGTGTGAAGGCTGTGCTTGGAGCAGGGCTCATGATGTACTCAGACTTCTGTTCACCAGTCCCCGGGGCCGCACACACCACAGTGTCCTCTCTCTGATGAGGTGACAGCAGTACAGGGGACCTGGTGCCCCAGGGGAGCTGGTCACCTGGTGTTGGCACCAAGCATCATCCTGGTGTTGGTACTGAGCCCGAGGCAGGGCCCATCGAATGCCTGCCCGGGCACTGGTCAGCACCTCCAGCAGATGCTCAGAGCATGCAAAGCCACAGCAGCTCTTAGCCGATGTGCAGCTCACTGTAAGAAACTAAGCAGGGGTAGGAAATGATTTTTATTTGGGGGTTCTTTGTGTGTGAGTAGGGGTTTTTGTGGGGAGGGGTTCAGGCTGGCCTTGAACTCACTGTGTGGCCCAGTGTGGCCTCAAACTCCTGGTGATCCGCCTGCCTCAGCCTCCCGAGTGCTGGGGTTTCAGGTGTGCACCACATCGCCCCTCCCCTCCCTTCTCTTGGAATCCACCTCTGCTGTCTCCCATTCTTGTGACCTGTAGCTTCGGTGTCATGTGCATGAAATATTTATGTGGTTCCTGGTAAACTTGCTAATATTTATGTCATTTAAAATAATGGCTCCTTAATTTGATTATAAACTCAAGGCCAGGGAGTGCATCTCGTATCTTATTCTTCCATCCTGTCTTCCCCACCAAAATAGCTGGAGGAGGTTTAGATACCATGAAGCGGTCCGAAAAATACTTTTAGTTGGTTTTATTCCAAGGTAAAACATCTTGTTAGCCCAGTAGTCTTCAGCCAAAGGAACCACACTGAGCCAAAGCATTTCAGAGGTGTGAGTCGCAGCGCCTTAGAGATGACGTCTTCTAAGTGAAACAAGGGCTGCCTGCCAGGGCTACACAGACAGCATTCACTGTGCAGTCACGGTCCTGCCTGTCACTCTCAGACAGGAGGGCTTGAGCACTCAGGCTCTGTCTCCTATTTCTGTTTAAAATTCGATTTTCCAGTCCTCAGTGTTGTGGTGTTCTGGCCGCTCCCTGCTCTGAGGGGTTCTCTCTGCTGCTGCCGCTGCCTAACTCCTGTGTGTGTGCCCAGAATCCAGGCAGGTGGACTGAGTCTTGGGCTTCGTGTGTTTGAATATATTCATGCAGTAATGGGTCCTGCCTTTGGGTGAATAAGCACCGTGGCTCAGTTCTGCTGCAGCCTTGCAAGCTGAGTCCTTTTAGTTCCACTTTGGAGTTGGAAGTGATTCTAGCCCACACAGTCCACAGGGGCAGCGGACGGAGCCAGGGAGGCTCCTGCCGGATGCAGCGCCCCTAGTTTGTGCTCCCTGGCTTCTTGGAAGGGCGGTGGAGGGCCATGGCAATGGGGACTGCTGAGTAAGATGGAGCTTTTGGAACTGTTTTAGAGAATTCCAGGTAGAAATTCCCAGTGGCAGCAGCTCTTGCTCAAACAACTGCTGTCTCACAATAGTCTCTTTCTGGATAAATGTGGTTTTTATCCGGTGTTCTCCTGAGGCTGTCTTCTTTCATCAGAGTCTTCTTTCATCAAGAAACCTTGCAGCTAAATTATTACTTTGTTTTTGTGGTTGTTTTTGAGGCAGGGTACTACTGTGTTTGTCATCCAGGCTGGCCTTAACCTCATGGTGCCACTTAGGCTGCCCTGGAACTCAGCGCACCACCATGCCCTGCTCAAAGTGGTGTTTTGATTTTTTTTTTTAAGGTTTTTGCCTTTTTCCAGAAGACTTATTTCTATCCAATTCTAACTAAATTCTGTGGGTAGAGGTGCTGGGATGTATAGTTTAGTGGTAAAGCATTTGTGTGGCTTGCTTGGGTTTGATTCCTAGCATCATCAAAAATTTTTTTTTTAAATTGGTACTGGGGATCGAACTCACAACTGCCTGCTTGCAAGGCAGATGCTTATACCGCTGAGCTAAATCCCCAGCCCCATCATCAAATTATTTAACTCACGGTAGTGTTTTTTCTTTCTTTTCTTTTCTTCTTCTTTTTTTTTGTCTTTTTGAGACAGGGTCTCACCGTGCAGTTCAGGCTGATCTTGAACTCACTGTTTAGCTCAGGCTGGTCTCAGTAATTCCCCTGCCTCAGCCTCCTGAGTGCTGGGATTATAGGTGTGCACCACCATGCCCAGCTTCATGGTAATATTTCCGAAAGGTCAACTCACAATAAGACCTAATGAATGCATACCACTGTATGTGCAGTTAAGGAAAACAAAAGCTAGTGATTTCTTGAGCCTAAAAGCTTATTATGGCTTTTAATTCTATCGTGGCTACTCTGCCAGAGAATCAGCCAAGCACCAAGCCACGCTGCTGTAGAAGCAGTGGGTTCGTGGGTTACAGTGCTGCTCTCCTCAACACACGCGCTTTCTTTGTGTCTCCAGCCCAGGGTCTGGCGTAGGTCCTGGCCCAGGGCAGCTGCGAGCTTAGGAAATGGAAAGCTACTGCTCTTGAGGAAGCAGGGAATCCTCCTGTTGTGCCCCACCCAACCCTGCCCCAGTGCCTGACATGTGGTCAGAGCCATAAATAACAATTAAAAGTGACAGCATTCTTCCAGTCCCCAAGCACAGAGCAGAGAGCAGGACTGAAATCTTTCTCCTTCCCCATAGCCTCCTAGTGGGGTCTGCACCCCGCCCTCCAGCGCCCCCTTTCCAGCCCCCAATGCCCCTGGCGCCTGTCCTGCTTCTTTGCCTCAGACCCCAGCCCACACCAACTCTTAGCCATGTGCTCCTCACCAGTGCATCCTCTCCTCGAGCCCCAGTCCCCAGCATGTGACAGCCTGATGTCTCCACCAGGGACACAGGCACACTGTGCTTGTTAGGGAAGCTGCAAACTTGTGTATCCGCAGCCCAGAGACAGAGCACAGCGCATGGCTGAGAAGTACCTGAGCTGAGGATCAAAGCCAGAGCCTTCACACTGAGCTCTGCCCCAGCCCTTTCTTAGTTTAGACACATTTTAGCAAAACTTCTCCTGCCTCTTCCTCTTAGAGTGTAGAGTATAAGTGTGCACCGCCACACCCTACCTGTCTTTCTTTCATGGATCTTTCACTCAAGTACTAATGTGGGCCACCCTGGCCTCTGGCAGGCGACCCAGCACGGCCCTCCCTGTGGGTCCTGTCGT